AAGAGGTCAGCAGCACACCGAGTCTGGTTTGTGAACAAAAGAAAGTTACATAACACCACACAATCTGGGCTCTTTTTACAAGGCTGCAGGCATCAATAGATTTTGTCTGTCAGGATAGAGTGGACACCAGACAGTCCTGCACCTGTTTGTAAGTGGCCCAGTATCATCAACATTGATAACTGCCCCGGCAGGAAGTGGTTAATGTGGCAAATTACAATATCGTATAGTCTACACTACCAGAGGTACTTGTTCTGAAATCAAACGTACCAATATGTGGTAGGTGAACTGAAGCGAATTCTTGACCTTGGATGTATTGAGCCTCTGAGTAGACTGGATGCCCTGATGCCAGATGAGAGAGATGGCTACTGACTGACTGGGAGGGCATTCTTGGATCGGTCAGTTGAGGAGATACTCTATAGTCAATGGGTTGATTGGCCATCCTGCACTCTACCGGTTGACCGGTCAGCCTGTTGTCCATTTGTGCTAATACCCTGTTATCAACCTGTTGGTTTGGCTGCGCCCTAGCCTCTAACTGTGCTGTCATGTGCATTGGGGTTTCCTCCTCGATATCAACTCCATCTACTGCTGTGGGCCACGGAGTCTTGGACTTATTGCCTCGAAACAAATTTTTCTTGCCATTTGTTTGGGGCTGCGCATAGGGCACACTGTCAAATAAAGGTTGGGGGTCAGTGGTGGCCATGGTGGTGGCTACGGTGGTAGAAGTTGGGTTGGCCGTCTCAGAGTGCTCCTTGTTGTGTTTACGTTCCTGGTGCCTCTTCATGCTGGAGCTGTGCTTGAAGTCCTTGCCGCAAATGTTACACAGGTAGCAGCGCTCATCGCTGTGACTGCGCTGGTGCCGGCTCAGCTGGTTTTTACGTATGAACGCCTTCTGGCACTTGTCACATTTGAACGGTTTGAGTTCACCGTGGGTGAGGATGTGAACTTTAAGGTGGCAGCTCTGCTTGAAGGCCTTGCTGCACAGGTGGCACGCATAGGGCCTCTTAGTGCTGTGGGTGGCCTTGTGCGACACCAGGCTACCTCTATACTTGAAGGACTTGCCACAGAAGCAGACAAATGGCCTGTCATCTGTGTGCATGACTTTGTGTCTCTTGAGGTAAAATTCCTGATTGAAACTCTTCCCGCAAATGCCACACTTGTACGGCTTCTCGGTGTTGTGGATGGCTTCATGGACGCGGACGTGCGACAACTGCGCAAAATTCTTGCCACAATAGTTGCAAAGGTACGGCCGCTCCTTGGTATGGCTGTTGCGGTGCACGTACAAGTTACTCCTGCAACGGAAGGACTTGCCACAGTACTCACAGAGAAACGGCTGCTCCCTAGTATGCACTCTCATGTGAACCTTCCAACTGTGGGTCAACATGAACTGCTTGTTGCAAACCACGCACGTGATCGGCTTCTTGGCTTCACCACGGCCTCGGCTGTTCTCTTGCTGGGCGTCTTCCTCCATCTGCTCTACCTGCGGGGGTCGTTGGCTACAGGAAGTCCTCTGGTGGTATTTGCGGTTGGAGTTGTGGTTGAAACCCTTGCCACAATACCAACATTTGAAGGGCTTCTCCTTCGTGTGGGACATGATGTGGCTCTTCAGGTGGGCACTCGTCAGGAAGCTCTTGGGACACACCTTGCACACAAAATTTCTTTCGTTGCTATACTTTCTGAAATGGTACAGTGCCTGTCCAGACTGCTTGAAGACCAAATGGCAGTCACGGCATTTATATGTGCCCTCCTCTTCATTGTAGTCTGATCGGTGCTCTTTCCTTTGTCCCATGTTGTCAGTGTCGACCAACCCTTCCATTGTGACATTTTGTTCTTGGTTCTTCCTCTGGTGCATCTTCCGGTGCTTCTCGTAGTACATCTTCAGCTTGAACTCCTTGCCGCACTCCTCGCACTTGTGAAGCTTCATGTTGGACAGCGCCAGCTTGCCTTCCGGGTCCATACCCAGGCATCCATTCCTCTGGTGGGTCTTGAGGTTGCACTTGTAATTGAAGCCCTTCCCGCACCCCTGGCAGGTCAAGGGCTTCTCGACTGCATGGACCAGCTCATGGGCCTTCAGGTGGGGGCTGGTTAGGAAGGCTTTCTTGCAGACCTTGCAGACGAACTGTCGCTGGTTGCTGACCTTCTTTTGATGGTACAGTGTCTGTCCCTTCTGTTTGAATGTCTGGCCACAATCCTTGCATTGGTACAGGCCAATCTCCTTGTTATAAACACTTTGATGGCACCCCTGTCCTTGTTCACTTCCCTCGGTCTCCTGCTCCTCGTCACCACTTTCAACAGATGATCCACCGTCTCTGCCATCGACTGTTCCTGCTTTTGCTTGTTTAGCACACCTCCTTGAGTACTTTCGGTCAGCACCTTGGATGCTTGCAATTTGGGGGCATGTCTTCTGGTGGCTTGTTAGGTTGCTCTTGTAATTAAACTCCTTCCCACAGCCATCACACTTTAGTGCTTTGACAGCTGAATGAGTCAGCATGTGGGCCTTCAAGTGTGCACTGGTGAGATAGCTGTTGGAGCACTTGGTGCATGGGAAAGCCCTCACGTTGGACGCCTTCCTCTGGTGGTAAATAGTTTGTCCCTTCTGCTTGAATGTCTTTCCGCAGTCCTGGCATCTGTAGATACCTTCTTCTTTGATGAAGACAGATTCATGTCCAAGGTCTGGTTTCCCATCTTCTTTAACATGATTGTTGACAGTACCTGGATGTGATGAGTTGGATTTCCTTTTGCTGTGATGGTTAGCATGAGTCTTCAGATGATTGGTCAAGAAGCCTCTCTTCTTGAACTGTTTGCCACAATGCCTACACTTGAAGCTTTGGGTGTTTCTGTGGACTGCAGAGTGTTCTCTCAGCTCAGCTTTGGAGCTAAACGTCTCAAAACAAATCTCGCAGTCGTACTCTATCTCGACCTCATGATGAGTTTTCTCGTGATCGAGAGCATCCTGTTTCTTGGCAAAGCCTCTCCCGCAATCCTTGCAGGTGAACAAGGCCCTCCTGACACGAAAGCAGCGGTGATTTTGCAGGGCCTCTTGGGAGCTGTAGTCTCTGCCACAGTCTTGGCAGAAGCTCCCTCTCTGTGTGGCATGTAGTTGGCGATGCTTACGCAGCTGGTCCTCGCTGCTGAAGCTCTCAGTGCACTCTTCACAACAATACAGGCGCTCCTGTGCCGCCTTGCCTCTCCTGCAGTGCATCTTCCGTTCATGCTGCTGGAGCTGCAGAACCGTGGCAAAGCACTCACTGCAATGTTCACAGGCGTACTCAATTCGAACTTTCTTCATGTGGCTGTACCGGTGCTTCTGCAGGATACTCTTGCGCCGGAAGGCCTTGCCGCAGCGCTTGCAGGTGAACATCCGACCCACTTTGTGCAGCTTCTCGTGCTGCTGGAAGCTCAGGAGGGTCCGGAAGACCCGGCCACAGTTGGGGCAGGTGTAGCGCCGGCTCTCCGAGTGGGTGGCAAAGTGACTGCTTAGGAGGCTCTCGCTGCCAAAGCCTTTGCCGCAGATCCCGCACACAAATTGGCTGTCAGCACTGTGAGTGAGCCGATGTGCCTTCAGCGAGATGTCATTTGCAAAAATCAGATCACATTCTGGACACTTCAGGGATGGCTCATCCATGCAAGTACTTTTCTGTGAAGGACCCCCTGCCCGGGAGATCTCTGTTAGGTCATTTTTTGATAGATCTACATCCATTCTGCAAACCTGTGTGTCACTGGACAGAATTTCAGGGAGGATGATCTCATCTTGAGAACTTTGCCCACCTGCTGACCCTGTCGGTCGGGACCCTGTCTGTCCACAGCCAGATTTATCTGAAAAGGCATGTGGAACAAAAACATTCAAGCATATCAGTATTTATGACAGATAACTACATAATATTTGCATTTTGAGTTACGTGTACATGTATGACACACTCCATCTTGAATACTTTATTTTCACTGGTCCAGAATACATGTAGTCACATAACCAGGCAATAAAACTGCATATCACCCTAACCGTTGGACTTCACACATTCATAATATTACATAGAGACATCAAAGACTAGTCCCTGCCCTGCAAATCACAATGCATGGACAGCTAACCAGACATTTCATTGGTTCTCTGCTGCTTTTACCTACATGCTGTACATACAGTTGGGGTGGGAACAGTGAAATGGCACTACAGTGCGACCACCTGCTGCAGCTCTGTCATTTCTGCCCACGGCTGAAGATTGTTTGAAGTTTGTTCCTTAGCAAAAGTTCTTTAACATGTCTTCTGAGCTTGAAGACACATGTAGATTCTCCGCAAAAATTGTTTTTAGGATGTAAAGATATTGTTTTCAGGCAGGACACATGTGGTTAACACAATTAAACCGAAACAGCGATGCACCAAGTTCGTAAACATTTAAAAACTTTCTTTCTACAGCATTGGACCGATTAATTTGAAACCTTCTGGTGAAGAAAACATTGCGAAGAATTCAAAACGAGGTATCACAAAACAATTACCGACTGCTGTGATAAGGGATATGGTACTGTATCTGGGGGCACCCTCTTCAATATTCCATATTCCACACAGGAAACACATCTGTAAGGGCCTTCAAATATATTTCTGGCCACAGTGTGGAGACTGTTTACTGTAATGCTGTAATCCTTCGCTTTTACTCACTACAACAGAGCCAATGAGGATTTTACATAAAGTTATTCGGCTTCTGAAGGTATATGACAACTTTTACAGAAAAACAAACATGACATAAAAGATTTGTCTAACGTACCTATGTCGGTTCTGGCCTGCACATTTTCAAGACGTGAGGATGAATGGGTCTCCACGGTGGAACTGTTGAGGATGTCCCCGTCATCCCTTCTCAGAAGTGAAATTGTGGAATCAACGGCAAGATCTGAAACAGACCAGACAAAATCTGAAAGATTTTGCCTCTGTTGAAAGGTTGGAGCGACGGCACGTAAACAATCACACCGGAAATTTTGAGATGTTCATGATCTGCACAGGAGATACACTTCTTTGCTTCACATTTAAGAGGACTCGCACTTTGTGTTCCATAATGCCCATCGGCTGGGCATTATCTTTCTCCAGGCTGTGAAATCAAAACTTGCCATCAATTTGCTGGTTCAGATGCTAACTGCATTACATAGAGCGTTAAAACCACCTGCATCCTACCTGGTGAGCTGATCATGATTGAAGGTCCAATGTTACCCTCCTCAGCAGCGGCCACTGATAACAGGCCATCACTTGGGGAGCAGCGTCTATCACAAACGTCATTTATCAACTGATCTGCAAACAAAATTTTCACAACTTCACACTTTTTTTGTGATATAAAACTGGGTGTTTCTTTCAAAATAGTGTTTGTCACTTCATACGAGGGCACACAACACATGACCAACAAATATGAGTTGTGTGGATGAACTGACGTATTTTGTCACATAAACAAGTGCTATTCTCACTTTGAACATGCAAAATACTATGCACGTTCAAAGGTTAACACAAGGGCCATCTCCACTGACTTCTCAGACGCCGTATGTGTATTACAGGTACTGGGGATTAGTGTATAAAAAACATTTAGCTGGGGGTGCGTGAGGTGCATGTGGCTGTTCAACCCGTTAGCCGTGCCTGTGTACACAGGTGGCTTGATCACTTTTACATATATCCTCTAGCATAAAACAGATGAACTTGCACATAGAGTCAAGAGAAACCAATGAAAATACAAATACTGTAAACCAACCATCCACACTTGAATTTCCACATTCAAGCCAAATAAAGACCGTGTCTTTCACCTGAAATTCTTGTTGCACTGGCCTCCAGCAATCTGCCAAAATTTCCTTCATAGATGGCACTGGTATTAGTCTCTTCTTGTACATCATGAGGCCTTGTCTTCAAGCTCTCCATCATTTAAACTGCTTTCTTCAAATCAAGTGTACATCTGCGAACGAAAGATGGGACAAAACCTTCACTTTTATTAACATGATCGAAAACATACAATACCACAAATACAAGACAAAATTTCCGTTTCCCCTCTGAACTAACAACCATTTAAAATTACATAAGGCGTTTAGATCATACCATATTTCTCTACCATTTACATGTCATGGAATATGAGCTGGAGTAAACTGTTTTACAAATGATTGTTTTCAAATATGAGTTAGTGACATGTCTTCTAAACTTTTCACTTAACCATCTGCGATGATTACTTTTAACCTTCCTTAGAAAATCTCTGGAGCTTGAATTTCTATTGTCGTTGGGTTTATTAGTAGTGTTTCTGATACGGGTCAACAAACATTTTGAGTAATTAAATTAGTATGCCTTCCAAAATGTAAAAATTTCAATGATAGAGCCTAGCTCTGACAAAGCCAGATTTTACATCACTGCTTTGCATGGGCACATTGAAGGAGATTCTTTTGTGTAACTAATTATTTCAAGGCACTAATATTTGAACTGGTAGTGATACTGATTTTCTTTTGGATTTTTTACCAGCACGGCAGCCGAACATGACCAAGAGGTGCATTGAGGGGCTTAGACATTTCACCATGATAAATCTTCATCTGGTTTCATTCTTTCATTGTCATCCATGTCACTGTAAATTTGTATGAACAAGATAGAATTCTGATCTAGGTCTACACAATATTTCAATTGGGCTATGAATGCATAGCCCAGTGTCTGTTAAAATGTTTGGCCAAAAACACACAAATGCAGAACTGTATTTGTTTGGTACGTTTGGGGTTGCAGAACACATGACCTACATGATGAATTCTACTTAGCCCTACTAATGTTACCTGGTTACAGCCATAAGGACAAAGGTTTTGTCTGAAACCACAGAGTCGAGAGCACAATAAATATTAACCCTAACCATGCTGAACCCAACAAGGTTATGCAGGATTTAAATGGTAGGGGTTAGGGTTAATACTAGCCCCACAAATAGGGCTGTAGTGGCTCGCTTTTACAATCTGTCTCTTATCTGTCACCAACACAGCCCTACTTGAAGGCATGTCTTAAATGCCTGAAATCCAAATTGCAGGATTGTCACAAACTTTGAATCCGAATATCTTCCGAAATAAGAAAGACTTGACAATTTTACTCTGTAAAAGCTTAGTAGGCTCATCTTGATGGGGCTGAAGCCGGTGCCGCCAGGCCCTGGGTCGGTCAAATTTCATGCATGTCGTATGCAATTAGGCCTACGTTTTCCTCCATCATGTCCATGGTTCGCCCAAACCATTAGTAAGTGTTATTGTGCAGCAAGGACAAAATTGCAGGAGTGACAAACTGTCATGACTGTGCGTACAGTTTGAGCATGTTGAGATATGAGGTTTTCTAGTCAAGTTGAACCAGGCATGCCAGATGTCTGGTATTAACCTAACCCTGGTATTAACTTTGAATCCTAATATCTTTCGAAATAAGAATGACTTGACAATTTTACTTAGTAACTTACAGCAGCGTATTTCTCAGAGTTTGAGACAATCCTGCAGTTTGGATTTCAGGCATTTAAGACATGCCTTGAAGTAGGGCTGTGGTGGCGACAGATAAGAGATAGATTGTAAAAATGGGGTTAAATTAATACAGACATGATCTGGCATGCCTGGTTCGACTTGACTAGAAAACCTCATATCTCAACATGCTCAAACTGTACGCACAGTCATGACAGTTATTCACTCCTGCAATTTTGTCCTTGCTGCACAATAACGCTTACTGAACGGTTTAGACGAACCGTGTACATGATGGAGGAAAACGTAGGCCTAGTAATTGCATATGACACGCATGAAATTCGACCGACCCAGGCAGGGCCTGGCGGCGCAGGCTTCAGCCCCATCACGATAAGCCTAATACTGCAAGACCAACTATGTAATTGCAAAACCACCATGCGGTAATCTACTACATTATGCAAAATCAATATTAAAGTATTTAAAATAGAAACGGAAACAAATTGGACTTTTAAATTCATACCCTTTTCCATATTTTCCGCAGCACAGGGCCAAGTAATAACAATGGCGGCCATCGTAGACTCGCAACAGTCGATTCAGTTGACAAGTACAGTACAAGAACGCGGCGCAGCTACAGACGCCCTCACACGACTTATTTGCCTAAAGACTTCAGCCCTATTTGCATTTCACGTATCAAACGATACACAGGTGATTTCAGTGCGGAAGAGGTGGAGCTCTCCCGGCCAAAGGATTAACGAAGATATTTAAAAACAAAGTAAGCCACAGGGAGGCAACACACAAAATCCCCATGTTGATATTATCTCAACGATTTCTGTCATTCGTTCCATAGTAGACTCGAATACAGGTGATAAATACAAGGACTGAAAAGCGCGTATTCTTTGTAGTTCCTTGCAACCAACGGCTCTCTTTAACGTCTTCAAAGATTACAAACCGTCAAATTGTGTCAAGAAATGAAGCCAGTGTGTTTGGTTTTCTTGAACTTTATTATGACTTATAGTGTTTGTACTTCAACACTTAAGTTTCAGTAAATGCACAGCAGAAGACGGGAAACTTCAACATAGCCAATACAAAAATGGATGCAGATCACAGTTAAATACAAAACGCACAAACGAGTATAATCATCAGACTTGGGTTGAAAGCAAAAATGTTTGCGATGGGATCGATGTATATCACAAAATAATCAATGAAGAATAAGCACTACCAAAAAGCCATTATAAATGATGAACTTGTGAGAATAAGCAGTGTGGATTTTTGGGGGGTTTTAAAAGAAAATCCAGGACCTTTTGTAAATTCTTCAAATTTGTTAAGGTTTGATTTTGAAAATGAAATACCAGAATTAATTTTTACATTAGTATGTTTATACTCCAAGTTCTGGTTTAAACTAAAGTATTGTAAAACGCACTGTACAGAAGAGTTGAATTTTAACATTCACTAGAGCACAGTTCTTTGACGAGAGTCATTCTGACCAAGTTTTCCACTCTTGTACAATACCCAAAGTGCATTCTGCCATTAACTACAACTTAAGTATGAACAAACGCGTCTGGCACGAAGCACCTACATCCAGGTTGTTGGAAAGCAGCCGATAGCAGATAAATGTACATTTCAAATGTTAGTCTTGCGACAAAATGTGTGGCCAGTTAACACTTGGGTTTCAAACTATGTAAGAATATGTACTTACACATAAATGCTTACATCAGATTTTATATGCCACCAATTATGAGCTTTTAAAAAACACCATTTACTGTAACAACAGTTGTTTGAGCTACAATACATGTACTGTACATCAAAGACATCTCCCGATGCAATGACATGGCTAAAATTCTTTTTACCACGGATTTAAAACCTGTCATGTGACCATGGCGACTGTTGCCTACGAGAGTGCCAACTGTACATTTCCAAGTACCTAATTAGCATCCTTTCCCCTTTATTTTTCTGAATATTTCGAGTCTGCCGGTTAACCCCTACCACATTCAGCTGAAACAAATGTGATCTGACTGCAACAGGGAATGACAATGTCTGCTTACAACCGTCACAGAACAAACTTTGGGCAACTATTCTAACAACTATTCCTTACGGATTACTAATGGGTTAAGATACTGAAGATCCAACACATGGACGAATCAAAAAGCTTGGAGCTTTTCCAACTTGGCAACAAGTTAGCGAGAAGACCTGTGCATTTACATACATTCCTGTGGCTATTATCTCATCACAGGTGAAGTCCTTTAGCGAGTTCTGAATATCCTTTGCCACTGACATTGTCCTTATAGTCTTTTAGTCGACCTCCTCCATGCGAGATGCATCTTCATCAGCGCCTTCAAGGGGTGGCATCTCGTCTGGCATTTCTTCAACAGCTGCGGCTTCATCTTCATCGATTCCTTAAAAATAAAAAAAAAAGGGATGGTTCGTGTAACCGAAAATTTCCCTTTCACGACCTGCAAGATGTCTTTGCCAAACTGAGTAGATTTCTGTGAAATTGCACAAGCAAACTAAACTTGACATTTCATACATGGGTCACACAGAGATGATGACAGTAGATTTTTGATCACCGACTAAACGTTTGCCTTAGGAGCATTGAACAGGCTATGCATTGAGTAGCAAGCAGAACACTTATTACCTAGACCAAGTTTGATCATTCTGTGGATGCGGCCAGCATGCGTCTGGGGGTCCTCCAAGGTGAAGCCAGAGGACAGCAAGGAGGTCTCAAAGAGCAGCATGACCAGGTCCTTGACCGACTTGTCGTTCTTGTCGGCATCCGCCTTCTGCTGCAGGGCCCCCATGATGGAGTGCTCGGGGTTGATCTCCAGGTGCTTCTTGGCTGCCATGTAGCCCATGGTGCTGGTGTCCCGCAGGGCCTGGGCCTTCATGATGCGTTCCATGTTGGCCGTCCAGCCATACTGGCTGGTGACGATGCAGCAGGGAGACGCCACTAACCTGTTGGACACAACCACCTGAACAAAAACAATGTTAAACCTGGAGTCAAAGTTTCAAAGTAAACATTGGTTAAAGGTGTCCTCTGCAAAAATATCTGTGCCAGACAGACAGGGTACCAGTTCCACATAAACTCTTGCTAAAAATATTTCCATTTTACAATACTCCATTTATAAGATCCAAACAAGTTGAGCAGTGGAATTTTCAGCACAGCTCAGTGAAATTGGAAACATCACCAATTTATCAGCAATTAAAATAGATCCTTGAACATCACTGCCATCTCTAACTGAAGCAACTTGTATACTGCAATGCCAACATCCTGTCCTCTTCAGGGTCATGTCTGAACATCAAACTCTAACAGGCATACCACTTGGAATTTGACAAAAAAAACTAGGAAATTCCAATCTTAAGAAGACTTTGCACAGTGTTTCTCAATTTTCAATGGTGTGAAGTGAAAAGCAAGGGAATCAGCTGATCCCAGGAAAAGTTGCATGCCTGCTTTACGTAGTTCTTCATCAATAGCACAGGCAGACATACCTTTTCCACCTTCTTGTCCAAGATGTCCTTCATGACCTTGCAGAGGTTCTCAAACTTGGCCTTGAGCTCCTCTCGCCTCTTCTTCTCGTCCTCATCCTCGGGGAGCTCCAGGCCCTCCTTGGTGATGGAGACCAGCGTCTTGCCTTCGTACTCTTTCAGCTGTTGCACGCAGTACTCATCGATGGGCTCTGTCATGTACAACACCTCAAAGCCACGCTTCTTGACACCTTCCACAAAGGAGGAGTTGGCAACCTGTTCTCTGGATTCACCTGCAGATACAAACAACCACCTTCGCGTTACATACTATGCCCATTTCAGTGCAAAAGTGCTCTCTGAAAATAAACATTTTACATTTTTTCATGAACTCTTCATTTCATGCAGCTCAGTATAATTAGTTCATCACTGTTGTCAGCAATTAAAACAGAATTTTTGAACATCACTGCCGCATGAATTGTACAACACAAACCGAGAATACAGAGATGGGGTTTGTTTAGGATAAGCACACTGCCTCTGAAGGTAAGTAATTAGGGTTTTTTTCCGAATGTCAAAGAACACACCTGTGATGTAATACATCTGTGTCTGGTTTTCTTTCATACGAGACACGTAGTCCTTCAGCGAGCTCATCTCGTCACCAGAGTGCGAAGTGTGGTAGCGAAGGAAGTTGGCCAACTTTGACCGGTTCTGGGAATCCTCGTGGATACCGAGCTGTGAGGACCAATCAAAACTGAAGAGTTACACTGAGTCACCCGAGTCATCTTAGGTAATCTGATCAGGTTCATGGCAGAGGAAGCTGATTTTCTCAGAACAAATATTTATACTAAGTGAAACAAATACATCAAAAATTTCAAATAACAGGATGGTGGAAAACATGGGCAATCACCGGGGAAAGAGTCACGCTTCCCCCCCCTACCCCCCCCCCCCCCGAAAACTGAATTAAAAAAAGGAAGAAAAGTAACTGAAAGGGGACGAAAATCACCAATCTGCTTGAAAATATTCCGGAACAGACCACCTTCTGCCACCAATGGTTTGTCTATTTGCTGCCAATGTGAGTTTTGCTAACCCCCCCCAAAAAAGTCCTGGGAACACCCATGGCGGGAAATGGAATAAACACTCAAGACTCTACCGGTACCTTGCTTTTAACCTTTCAAACCTTAACTCCTATTCCTTAGTGAAGTGTTAATTACATCTACACTAGTTGGATGTGCAGCTGGGGTAAGTAACGTACCTTCAGGTTCTTGCTGAACTGCTCATAGAACTTCTTGTAGTCATCCTTCTCTTCGGCCAGCTCCCCAAAGAGCTCCATACACTTCTTGACGATGTTCTTGCGGATGACCTTCAGGATCTTGCTCTGTTGCAGCATCTCACGGGAGATGTTGAGGGGCAGATCCTCCGAGTCCACCACACCCTTGACGAAATCTGCAATCCAGAGAAACATTTTCAATGCAGATCTGGCACAATGCCACTCGGTAAGTAACAGTCAAAATGAATTTGATTGGTTGGGAAATGGTAGTTTAAAAGTTTTGGCAGTTGTTCAACAAATTGTCGAGCACTGCAACTATAAAACAAGAAATTTTTAAGCTTATGCCCAAAACTTAGCTCATTTTGTTTTCACAAGTAATGAACTTTAATCACTCAATTCTAACAAACGCTATTCACAGTCTGCACTTAACATCACAACGTGTACATCACGATAGCGAGCCATGTTAACCCCTTCAAGAATGTCTCCCGTGACAGTCTGGTGTGTCTAAAAGCAGGCTCCATTCACATTTTTAACCGTCACACATCTGCCCCAACACTTACTGAGGTATTCAGGGATGATGTCTTCACAGTTGTCCATGATGAACACCCTGCGCACATACAACTTGATGTTGTTCTTCTTCTTCTTATTCTCAAACAGGTCAAAGGGCGCCCTCTTGGGAACAAAGAGAAGGGCACGGAACTCGAGCTGACCCTCTACAGAGAAATGCTGCAAAGGGAGATTGGAAGAAATCAGTCAATTTCTGAAGTCTGAGAGGTGCCTGCAAGTCCAAACTTCAATCTCAAACTCTAGTGATGGAATATCAAGTACGTGATTGGCTGTAGCTCTGTGAAGAGAAGCAAAGTCCCCGGACATTAAAAAAGAGGTCCTCCAATGCCATACCCCTCCACAATGCTTCATTACTGCTCTGTAAGAAGCAGGTAGCAACCTAGCCCAAGCAGAACGGATTCCTCTTCTTCCATGTGCACCACCAGAAGCCACCAGAGTCGCTGTGCATCACCGCCCATCGGCCCACCTCTGAAAAAGGGGGCGGACAGACAGATGACGACAGCAACTATGGCCCGGCGCATGTTGTGCTGGAAGGTCTCTAGTCACTCAAAATGACTTGTCAGTACAGTTTGCTGTTGCCTTTGTACATCCAGCAAGAAATGAGACAGAGGGCTAACCTCCAACATGCCCCATCACTACATACACTCTAGACTATTGTTATATAACACATCCCCCCTTAGATGTCTGAAAAGAATTCCTCAGATTCCAGCGGAACGATGACCAACACAAAGAAGGGGAGAGGTTCTCTCCATCTCATATCTTGCTTCATGTGTGCCTTTGTAACTTTACAAAGACAAATATCTTCAGACAGCGACACAGTAAGACAACCGTTAGACAATCAACAACCACTTCTCAACTTTGCTCTGAGGGTGAATTGTCTAAAATCTCCTGAGCTGAAATTTGCTGCTTATAAACAAACTCAGCAGTGAACCGGTCAGAACACACACCTCATGATTCTTCAGATAGTAACCAGCCCCTGTTGAGCAAACATATTCAGAGCTTATGCAAATTTCAAGTTTCATGAAACTGGCCCATCATAAAGCTGCCATCTGACTTCGCAAGCAGAGAACTATTCATGGATTAGTCCATCACCAGTTACAGTCCACAAGGCACACAGCCCTGAAATCCATACCTTGACAGCCAGATGGTCTTCCCAGTCATTGGTGAGGGACTTGTAAAATTCCCCGTACTCTTCCTGGGTAATGTCATCTGGATTCCTAGTCCACAGCGGCTTGGTCTTGTTCAACACCTCGTCCTCAGTGTACTTCTCCTGAATGGACGATAAAGGCCAAATGCAGGTTAAAATACAAGACCATTCTGTCGTTTCATTCCAATTAAACTTTACCTTACGTCATGAAATGTTCAATAAAACATATCCACCGAAACAAGAGCGACACAAAACGAGTCATCTGTTGACAAAAGAGTGCTCATCCCTTGGCCTCAAGTCTTACCTTGATCTTTTTCTTCTTTTTCTTGTCTTTCTCTTTGTCCCCTTCCTCGTCCTCTTCCAGATCTTCAATTTTGGGCTTGTCCTTGTCCTCGTCTTCCTCCGCGGCCTCTTCTTCCTTTTTCTCCTCCTCTTCATCATCACTCACTTCCTTTTCCCGCTCCTTTTCCACCTGAGTGAACAGAACCGCACTTGGTCAACTCTCAAGTCTGCCAGGTGTTTGACTGGAAACATCCTTCCCCTTTCAAACCCAGAGCAGCTGCTGAGTATGCCAATTCGCAAATCTTGTGTTGAGGCAACAAATAATACACAACCAGTTAACGTCAGATTTTTTTTTTACCCGAAAGCTGCAGGGGGGGGCAAGTTTTTTTACAGGCAAATTCTTCAACCTTGCAACTGTGCTTGGTTGACCCAACAAAGCACAACACGTTAATACGTCAACCGCGCAAATGAAAAAGGAATTCTTAAATGAGTGTACACGTCCCCCATGGAACAAACAAGGAAACTTATGTGTGTTTACACGTCATCTGGCGTCAAGTGGCTAACAATGCAGTACAGTTTGGATTCCAACCGAATGCATGGTGTCAATTGTTACAAAAGAAAGACTGCGCTTCACATTTTTTCAGTGGTCCCTTGCTGTTCAAGAACTTTTACCGAGTACCAACTGCAACAGGGCTACACACCTTTAAAGGAACCACAAAGTAAAAATATTTTTACTAAAATCCTTGAAATTGCATCTTTGGGTTTCAATTAATCTGATTTTAAGTTTTGTTTTGCAATTTTAACCCATATTTTGATTTTTGGGGTTTTATGCTAATGCACATTAGTATATTCATGAGCAGAACTATGATGTCATCCAAGGCAATGTTGCACTAATTTGTGCACAGAAAATTTCTAGATTTTTTTAACCACTGCTATGGCAGCTTTTATTTTCTTTGGCAATTTATTGCTGTGTAAGTCTACGACAATAATATGACAAAAATCCTTTTCAAAGAAATGTTCCCAGATAGCACATTTTGGGTTCACAATTTGAACATTAAAACATGCAATGTGAAACATGTCTTCCTGGATTTACATCAAAGCAAAAGCGCCCTCACTTGTCCAGAAATGCTTGGTCAATTCTTAATTAATGTTTGAAAAAGTGCACCGTTTAGTTCACAGAACTCAAAAAAGATGTCAAACAGTCTTCACATGTGGAAGAAGAGTACAGAGATACACAAAAGCGATTCTCAGAAAAATTCATTTCCTGGTTCCTTTAAATCGTTTGCTTGTATAAGTACAAAAATGGTGTTGAAAGTATTTAAAAACTATTGTGCTGGCCTGTAGTTTATCTTTCAAGTGGGCAGTGTATTTCCTATGTGGGGCAGAAATGAGCAATATCAGATTTTCCCATATTTGTAAACCTCTAGTTTCAACATCTTGTCACATTTCAGATGTGCCTCAGCAGGCCAGCCTACCTGAAGTGAGATTGGGTAGCCAATGAATTGACTGTGTTTCTTGATGGTATCCCGGATCCTTTTCTCATCTGTGTATTCCACTTGGTCCTCCTTCAAGTACAGCTTGATAATGGTGCCACGCTTTACGAGGTCCAATGCTGCCATTTAAACAACCATTTTTTTTAATCATTACAAAGTCAATGTGCATATAGGTGACGGCCTGTGTGATCTTCAGTCACAGTGCAATGCAGTGACACTCATGCTTATTACCAGCCCCCTTTGAAGAAGTTTGTACAGAAGTGGACAACGCAAGACGCCATGATGCAAGAAATGAGAGTTAACCACCGACTGTTAACTCGTGTTCGATCTTTCAATTTAATGAAGTTGAAAACACAAACAGTAGTAACATGCAGAACTGCAGTTTTTTCTCTGTTTGAAAAAGACACTAAAAACTTATTCTTCTGTCGAGTTTTGGCCAAATTACTGGTGGATCACAAAAGTTACAATACATCACACTACTTACTTGGAACTGATCTGACGGTGAATGAGCCACCAGCAGAGGATTCCCAGACGTAACTCTCGTCATCAGTATGTTTGGAGTACACCGTCACCCTATCTGCAACCAGATAGGCTGAATAGAAGCCCACACCAAACTGGCCAATCATGGAAATATCTGCGCCAGCCTGTGGAATGAGTCAGAGACCACTCCTGTCAATAACTATGGGTTAAAAACGAACATCCTATGATTAATGATACTTTTAGCTACAGTCAGCTGATTGGGACACTATCCAAACTTGACTTTTATGAAGCACATTGGCGATAACAAGCCAAATGTACCTCGAGTGCCTCCATGAATGCCTTGGTGCCACTCTTAGCGATAGTCCCCAGATTGTTGACCAGGTCAGCCTTGGTCATGCCAATGCCCGTGTCGACGATGGTCAGTGTCTTCTCCTCCTTGTTGGGGATGATCTTGATCATGAAGTCCTTGCCGCCCGTCTCCACCCTATCAGGGTCTGTGAGGCTCTCGTAACGGATCTTATCAAGGGCCTAGGTAGAATGAAAAATTGCCAAGAGAATTTGCACTAATACAGTTGTCTTAAAATAAAATTGTGTAATTTTTATTAAACTTCAGCAGTTGGGCCCAAGACCAGGGTGAATACAGCATTCTTTGTCTTAATTTCAACGGATGATTTTAAGGAGAGTTAAATATTACAGAAAACATGGCCAACTACGATTCTAAACTAGAATACGTGTGGGGAGGATAATGAAACTAAAATAATGCAGGAACTTGAATTAATCAAGATGTATGAAAAACTATGCATTAATGTATTCCACTAAGCCACGACCTTGTTTGGCCACTTCAGTGGCAGAATTGCAAACTCACATCTGAGGCGTTGGATATCAACTCTCTGAGGAAGATTTCCTTGTTGGAGTAAAAGGTGTTGATGATGAGACTCATAAGCTGAGCGATCTCGGCCTGAAAGGCAAAAGTCTCAACCTCACCCTCCTCCATTGGTTGCTCCTGGTCTCCCGACATCTACGAGTATGAGAAAAATAAACGAGGCAATGGGTGACAGTTATCATGAAATATTACCCAAACTGGAAATGGTCATGTTACAGTTCAGTAAGACAACTTGACCATTGGACAAATCGACCGTTTACCAATTCAACTTCGGATAACTCTACTGTTGAAACAATTCGACAGTTTACAAGCCGACAGTTTACCAAGTAGTCTGTTCAGTCAAGTATGACATGGAGAAAACTGGACCACGCCAACGTGTGAACATGACCATGTTGGAGTGCAGGGCATTTTAGCACTGATCACACATTGAAGTGTTTTGGAACATGTGTGTTAGGTTGCAATGTTGTGACCCAATGGACCCAGATATGATATGCACAGGAACCTAGTTCAGTGGGCTGCCGTTCACCACCCCAACCAGTACGGTGTAAAGCTGGTAAGTGCAAATGGGATGCAGCATGCATGGTGGCATCACACACCATCTGAGGTGCACAAGTGCCTCCTCCGCACCAAGGATCAGTCATTAGTGTGCCGGTGTGGGAGACTGTGAATCTGTCCCCATCAAGAAGTTGTTTCTTTCTTTCTTCTTTTCTCTTTTTATTTGGAGTCAAAGTGTGGACAAAATAACCACAAAGCCATGCACACTCATTATGAGTCAACTTGTCTCAATCGACAACTTGTCTCACTGATCGAGTTGTCTTACCGTCCATGCCCCCTCTAACGGCCACGGACAAGACTGACAAATTACATAAACTTTGCAAAAATATCCACTGCCTTAAGTTTAAAAAAGGCAGAAAATATTTAGACTGTGAACTGGTCCAGATATTCTTTCACTATTGTATACAAATGGCAAATAGGCTAAAAATTAGAACAATCGAGACAATTTAGGCCTACATCCACAGCATGCTAGGCCCTACAGGCTGCAGTCTAAATGGCAGCGTTTTTAATCAGTAGGCCTAACATGAAATAGGAGTCTGCCCCTTTAACCGTGTGGTTAGTCTTCCACCACTCTCATGCCATGGCTCTAATGAAGAATCCCACAGTTTTTGTATGTAGGCCTAATATTTTCAGAGTAGTAAACAAGCATGACAAGAGCAGTACGTTGTACTCTTAGTTTAAATTTGATTTTCATCGTACGTCAGTCTGTCACTCGTGTCAGTGT